TAAGATTCCGATCGAATTCGTTGAAGCCCTATGGGTCCTATAGGACTCCTACATGAATGCAATCGGATATTATAGGATTCCTATACTCATCCCATTGGATCCTACAAGACTCCTATACGAATCCCATCGGATCCTATAGGACTCCTATACAAATCCCATCGGTTCCTACAGGACTCCTAAACGAATCACATAAGATCCTACAAGACTCCTTTAGGAGTCCCATCGGATCCTACAAGATTTCTATTCGAGTCCCATCGGATCCTACAAGACTCCTATACGAATCCCATCGGATCCTACAGGACTCCTATACAAATCCCATTGGATCCCATCGGGTCCCAGAGGACCCTATGAAACTCCCATGCGGCCTCAGGGCTCGGGATCAGGCGCGCTGCTTCGTCCTTATCCACTCGCGTGTCATTCAACATGCATATCCCAAACCCTGGATACCCGCCCTCTTTGTCTTCCAACCACCCCCCTCTTTGGGGGGTATACGCATTTCCTGCCACGCGTGGTTGGCGAAGCCCTTCAAACCGAAAGGGAACAGATAACGGGGGAGAATGAGGACGAAGGGATCGGGGGAAGGGAGGGGAGGGGCAAGAAGGAGGGAGAACGATGATTCGCGCTGCGAGTGGCGATTCATCTTGCGCCATGGTTTGCGCCAGCCACTCCAACAAAGGTTAAGAATAAGTTTCGCCATGGGTCGCGCCATAATCAGCGCCACGCACCACCCTTTTGAAAGATCATATCGTGGATACCCCGACGGGGGGACGTACAGCTGCGAACTGGTGTCAGCAACAAATTTCGTGGAATCTTGAAAAAAAAAAAAAAAAAAAAAAAAAAAAAAAAAAAAAAAAAAAAAAAAAAAAAAAAAAAAAAAAAAAAAAAACGGGATGTTGGAGAGTGGGGCGGAAGGATAATGAGAACTGCAACCGTGTCGAGAGGAGCGCGGGGATGTGGAGTGGATTGGGATGGAGCGGACAAGAGTAGGGTCTCAGGAGGAGGAGCGGCAAGAAGTGGAGAAGAGGAGCCGGGAGGAGTGCGGAGGAGCGGGGGGCGCACGGAGGAATCTGGAGGAGGGACTAGGAATAATTTGGGAGAAATGCGGAATGCGAGCGGGAAGGAGTGGAGATTGTCGGGGTGGGATGGGGTGGCCTGGGGAGGAGCGGGCGGAATGCGAAGAACTTTGAATAGCACAATGGAATACGAACGACATGAAAATGAAGATAAAGGGAAAGAGTAAAGAAGACTGAGAAAGAACCTTGAAAAGTGGGGGCAAGTGGATACGAGCGGAAACCGGTGCGGAAACAAGGCGCGGGGGGATTGGAAGGCACCCGAAAGCTTCCTATGACCGCAGAAAGTGGGCCACTGAGCGCAGAAAGTGGGACACGAAGGGCAGCGAGGGGGCCACGAATGGCGACAGCGGGGCGACGAAACGCATGCGCATGGGACCACGACGGGCGCGAGCGAGCGGGGGCCACGAAGGGCAATTAATTCGGGGCCACAGAGAGCAGCGACGGGGCCGCGAAGGGCAGAAACGGGGCCACGAAGGGCAGAGAGGGGGCCACGAAGGGCGACAGCGGGGCCACGAAGGGCATGCATATGGGGCCACGACGGGCGCGAACGAGCGGGGGCCACGACGGGCATTCGTATATGGGACCAGAAAGGGCGAAAGCGGGACCACTGAGGGCAGCAAAGAGGCCACGAAGGGCAGCGAGAGGGCCACGAAGGGCGACAGCGGGGCACGAAGGGCATGCGTACGGGGCCACGACGGGCGACTGCGAGCCGTGGCCACGAAGGGCATAGAATGCGGGGCCACAATGGGCAGCGATGGGGCCACTGAGGGCAGCAACGGGGCCACGAAGGGCAGCGAGCGAAGGCGACCGCGGAACTTAGCACGGGCAGCGAGGGGTATCGAAGGCGGGCGAAGGGCAGCGAGCGGCGACTGCAGTCCCTAACGGGCTGGTCGGGCGGGCAGGCCCAGACGAGCGGGTCGAGCGGGCGGGTCGTTGAAGCGTAAATTCTGCTTGAACCGCCAAGCAATATGCAGCGGGAGCGCGATTCCTGAGTGTCGAGGAGCGGCATCTGAATAAATTGTGAGGAAATATCAGGCGGGAGCCGCGATTCGGTGGCAAGTTGCGAGGAAGTCCCAAGCGAGAGCGCGATTCTTCAATAAATTGTGGGGACGTACCAAGCGGGAGCCGCGATCCGGTGGCAAATTGCAAGGAAGTCCCAAGCGAAAGCGAGATTCTTGAATAATTTGTGAGGACATATCAGGCGTGAGCCGTTGTTGTTGTAAACCGGGGGCCAACAACACAGTTTGAACCTCAAGACTTTCCCTGCTAAAAAACAGGGTGCGAGCCCTGGGAAGGGCACTTCAATCGAAAAAACAATGTGCACCGGACGGGGAGGATCCACAATAATTATTCTTCTGGAATAAAAGTGCAACAACAACAGCAGTAGCAACAACAACAACAACAACAACCACAACAACAACAACAACAACAACAACAACAACAACAACAACAACAACAACAACAATTACCAGCACGTGGGGACACTCCGTTCTCACCAGTGCCAGGGTTTTCATAGGAGGCGGACAATACCCCCACTTTGTGGGGGGGCCGGTTCAAGCTCTACCACATTTCCAAACGACTCTTCGCCACCACCCACACCCAGCTTCCCGCCCTATGACGTTCGGACACTTCACTTCGTGGCCTGCGGACGACCTTGGCTACTACACTGGCGCATGGGTACAGTGACTTGTTGTGGTAACATTTTCTGTAAGCTAGCTTAGTATACGACTTTTCCCCCTGTTCCAACACTGGACACCTGTACTGGTTTTTCGTGGTAACATGTTCCTGACGCGCAAACCGTTGTTGCAGAAGTTCGAAGCACGTGAAAAAGTTGCTCGCAAGAGCCCGTTTGACAGAAATGTTGAAAAAGTATTGGGTTTCCTAAGAAATCCGCAAGAGCGCGCGGGATGAATTTGTGAAACTTTTTGTTTGAAAAACCATTGGGTTTTTTCATGTTTTTATGTTAAAATCGCTACGAAAACTAAGGTTTTGGAAGGATTTCATCTTGCGCGCGCGAGTGTGCACTTCGTGTCATTTTTTGCAAAGGATTCTTGAAGTTTGGTTATGTTAGAACAAGACATGTCATTTTATATTGTTTTTTGACAGGGAAAGCGGGCGTCAACAAAACAACCGGATCCGGACTCCCCCGTTTTGCCTGAGACTTCCTCACGAAAATGATGAAAATGTGGCTGCGGCCTAGGCGCGGCGAGGGGGGCGTGCACCAGGGGGCCCAACAATAATTATTCTTTAGAAGTAATAATATACAACAACAACAACAACAACAACAACAACAACAACAACAACAACAACAACAACATCAACACCAACGCTGGGAACAAAAACAACATCCGGAGGAGTCCCTCATGACTCCGGTGCTGAATCGAAGTGGTGAAGTACGTGTGCGCGCTACCGAAGTGAGGAATTCGATACGCCCTTGTATGACTTCTGTAGAAACCGTATACGGATCCTATAGAATCCCGATAGGGCTCCTATAGAAATCCTATAGGGATCCTACAGAACCACTTTGTAAAAAAAAACCTATAGAAACCCGATACGGATCCCACATAAACGCTATCAGGATCCTACAGAAACCCTATACGGATCCTAAAAACCCTACAAGGATCCTACAAAAACCTTATGAGGATCCTACACAAACCCTATCAGACAGGATCCTTATAGGGATCCTACTAGCTGCAATAGGATCTCTCCAGGGATGCTACCAGCTGCAATAGGATCCCTACAAGGATTCTACCAGCTGTCATAGGACCCCATATAGGGATCCGACCAGATGTCATAATGTACCTATAGGGATCCTACCAGCTGCAGCAGGATCCCTACAGGGACCCTACCACGTGCCATAAGATCCTTATAAGGACCCGACCAGCTGTCATAGAATCCCTACAGGGATCCTACAAGCTGTCATGGGATCCCTATAGGGACCCTACCAGCTGTAATCGGATTCCTAGAAGCATCTTACCAGCTGTAATACGGTCCATATTGGGATCCGACCGGCTGCAATAGGATCCCTACAGGGATCCTACCAGCTGCGATAGGATCCCTTCAGGGACCCTACCACTGTCATAGGATCCCTATCGGGATTCTACCAGCTGCAATAAGATCCGTCTAGGGATCCTACCAGTTGCAATAGGATCCCCAAGGAATCCGACCAGTTGTCACAGGATCCCTATAGGGATCTTACCAGCTGTAACAGGTTCCCTATAGGGATCCTACCAGTTGTAAGAGGATCCCTATAGAGGATTCTATCAGCTGTCATAAGATCCCTATAAGGATCCTACAATGATCCCAAGCCTGCTGCGGGGCCACGAAACGTGTGAGGGGTGCTCCGAAATGGACCCGAAGCCGTAGGGGGAGCCCCATGCGGGGCCACGAAACGTGTGAGACGTGCTCCGAAATTTGCCCGATGCCTTCCAACTCTGGAACGATCCCTACGCGGACCCTCCCAGCTCTGGTACGATCCCTATCAGAACCGATGCAGCTCTGGCACGAAGCATGTAGCGATCCTACCACAACTGTGGCAGGATCCCCTACGGGGGTCCATACAGCTGAAGTTGGATCCCTGCAGGGCGTCCCTTTGGGTGTCTGGGGGCCCTTTGGGTCTCTGGGGAAGTGGGAATGCGGAGACGCAGGGGTATGGGAGGGCGCCGAGGCCCCAGTGTAGGAATCCGTCATCCCTCAATGAATTGCAAGGAAATCTCGAGCGGGAGCCGTCCGCGTTGTTGTTGTTGTTGCTGTTGTATGTGAATAACCAAACAATTATTACTGTTGGACACCTTAAAGGCGCTCTGGCGCTCTCTCCGAAGCGCCGGCTACATGTTCATTGAAAATGAAGCTCACGCTCGAGCGGTATGGGGGACCGCCAAAACTGGCCCCCAACAGCAACAACACTCCCGCTCGAGACTTCCTCTTTTTTACTCAGGGCTGGTGTTTTTACTCGCCGCCGAAAGCTGCCGTCCTAACAAAACCAGCGTTCCCGCTCGAGACTTCCTCCTATTTTACCTTGGACTGGCGCGCTAGTCTTTCTCTCATCGGCACCGCCCCCAGCAAAAACAACGAGGTTTCATTTTTGTTTTACTCAAGGCGGTGCTCCTCCTCGCCGCCGAAAACCACCGCCCCGACAAAACCAGGAAGGTGCGCCGCTGGATCTCCCCAAGGGGGGGGGAACCCCCCCGGCCCCCCTTCCCCGATCCGTCGTCGGGGACCCCCCCAGAAGAACGACGAGAAAACCGAAGAGAACATGAGAGAACGATCACATCGATGCATGTACGGAAGAAGATAACGAAACAGTAGCAACGGAGGAGGAGGACAAAGAGGGCAGTGATGGGATTAAAAAGAAGTACCAGAAGAGAAGAAGGATTGAGAAAACGACAAGGACGACGAATAGCGCAAACGCCCGATTTCTGAATCAACTCGCCAACGACGCGTCCTCGACGTCGAAAGGCCACGGCGCTACGGATTCAGATATGGTGCTCGCCGCCTCCGCGTGAGCCGCGGGATCACGACAGGCCAGCACCCCACAGAAGTTCTGGTGAGTAGCTGGGTTTGAACCGTAGTGATACGGCCGCCCGACGGCATCAGTGAGGACGCCGCCGACAGACCTGCAGGGACACAAGCAGTGGTATGAGCATTAAAAACTCCGTCCGCGCAGCTTCCTCGGATCGGCGCTGGAGCCCCTTGGCGCGCTCCGCGCGCCAGGGAGGGGGGTCCAGCACGGATCCAAGCCATCGGCGGCGCGACCTCCGAGTTTGTTCGTTTATGCCATTGCTTGTTCCCCCGACGACCTCAAGAGGGCCTCACCACCGCAGATGTCCCACTTCTTGGTGCCATGCCTGGTGAGCACAAAGAGGGAGCAGGAGCCCTCGACCACGCAGAGGATGTTGAAGCCCGTCGCGCTCACACGCTGCGCGTCCCTCTCCGGAGTGACGCCGAGGGCCCCGAGCGCCCCCGCGCAGCGAGTGCTGCGCACCACCCGGTTGGTACAGATGGAGCCCGGCGGGGGCTCGGCCCGCACGCTGGCCCCGTGCACCCCGACGCCCGGCCCGCCCCAGATCGTGCGCCCCTCCGGCAGCCCGGGCGCCCACGGCTGGTTGATGATGCCCGCCACCGGCACGCCGTCCACGGCGATGCCGAGCAGGTTCGTGACCGGCGCGAGGTTGCCGCGCACGAACTCGCCCGTGCCGTCCAGAGGGTCGAGGTCAGAAGAGCAAAGAGCTCGACAGCATGAGCTCTCGGGGGTCCGCGCGGGCATCCAGAGAGAACTCATGCTCGTGCCGCTGTCTGGTCTTCGAGATGCTGCACCGCCAGGAGACATCCACGCCCACATCCGCTGGATGGGATGCACAAGGACATACTAGTACTATGCGTCCTTCTCGGGTGCGCGCGCCCGCCCCGAACAGATAGTATAACAATATTGCAGTACATCGTATCCCGAGCGGTATGGCCCAGAAGCGCCCGCCACGGAGCTTATACTATAAGATTTCCCGGCGCGCGCGTCGCCCCTGGGGGGGCGACGCACACACACACACACAGTCTTAGTATGTCGGTGTGACGCCGACTGGAGTCCTGCTCTGGGTCCCTGGTGAGCGGTGGGCACGGATGCCTTTTGGGCGCCGCTCAATGGGGGGCGATAAATGGGCCTCAAGAGGCCCAGAGGGCCCCAGGGGCTCGAAAATGGAGCGAACAGCTGGGGGGCACCTTGGACCAGGGGCACTTCTAGCGCAACACCGACATTTGTCGCCGCCTCATTACGCGAGGCCCAAAGCCCCTCCCCGCCTTCCGGCTCCAAATTGCGGGCAGACGTCTACGCCCACCGCCCATCGAGAGGAGGGCACTGGGCCCCGGGGGCACGCCTCCGAGGCGGTCGGCATCGAGTCGGACTGCCTACCAGACCGCCTCAACCCAACTCGAAGACCCGAAGTTCGGGTTGGGAGGGGGGACGGGTTCCATATGCGTTTCCCAACTGATCCCCGACCCCCCCCCCACACTGGAAAGGGAGGACAAGCTGGGCCCTTTGGGCTGGGTTCGGGTGGCTCGGTGGGTGGTGAGCGTCGGGGAGCAGGCTCGCGCGAGCCGGAGCGCGCGCCAGAGCGGGCCGCATCGGCCACGGAGTCGGAATCGGCTCGGATCAGCCGCGCCAGGCTGCTCGGCAGCGCCGCGCAAGCACTGGGCCGCAGCAGCCGTCGGGGCGTCGGCACCGGATGGGGCCGGGCGCCGGCACCGACGGCGGAATCGGAGATGGACCGGGTCAGAGATGGGACCCCATGAGGGGCGTGGATGCGTCCTCTGGCGCTGGGGGATGTAGACCACCACCCGCCGCGCCTCGTCCGGGACACACCAACCCGGGTCGGCCCACACCCGGGTCGGCGCCGCGCGGCAGCTCCCAAAACCGGGTCGGCGGAGGGCAGACAAGGGGAATCGGCCCCCCGTGGCTCCCAAGCGCCCCATCAGCGCCGACCCCCAGGCCGGAGCGGATTGGCTGCCCCAGTTTCGGCGGCGAGCCCGGGAGGGAAGTGAGAAAGGACGGGCCTTCTCAAAAGGCTCGGAAGTTCCCCCGCCTTCTGAGAAATGTTCTGAGCCTTCCCCGAAGACACAAAACACTTCTCAGAAGGCGCGAGGGCTTCTGAGAAGGCCCGCCGCCTTCTAGGGGAAACCAAAAGGTACCCATACCGCTACCCCCCGTGCCTCCACTGGGGTGCGCTCTGACCAGAACTTCGAGGCGAATCCGGCGGTGGCGGCGAGGGCCTCCCAGGAGGCCCCAAAAGGGGAAAACGGCCGCAGGGCAGAGGTGCGTGGGTACCTTTTCCGCCGCTGGCTTCTGAGAGCGCCATCTCCTTCTCGCCGCCGACCCGTGAGCTTACCAGCCTCGAACTTTTTCCTATCCCTAAGATTCACACGCCAAAAGGCGAGGACCATCTTAGGGACGCGCCCTCAAAAAAATAAGGGAATCCCTCAGATTGGCATCGTGATGAGGAGGTGCCCAGCACAGGGATAGGGACATGTTCCAGGCTGATCAAGAGCGCCTTCTCCTTCTCGCCGCCGACCCGTGAGCGCCGACCAACGTCAGGCGAGCCCCGCCTCGACGCGCCGCAGCTCCTCCGGCCACGCGGCGCCCAGCGCCGCCAGGGCGGCGGGCGACGTGAGGGGCGGCACGCCCGCGGCGGGCGCCGCCGCCACGCCGGCGGCACCGCCCGCGGCCTCCTCGGGAGGGGCCCAGGGCTCCCGTCCTCCTCCTCCTCCTCCTCCTCCTCCTCCTCCTCCTCCTCCTCCTCCACCTCCTCCTCCTCCTCCTCCTCCTCCTCCTCCTCCTCTTCCTCCTCCTCCTCCTCGGTTCTCGTCGCCCCCCCCCACGTCCCACAGTTTCCCCTCTTTTCTTCGGAATCGACCATTGCTGGTGTCGGTGTGCCTCTTCCCCTCCTCTGGGGCCAGGAGGAGCGGCACATCGACGGGACGACGAGAGGAGACGGCGGAGACGTCCTGGGGGAGGGCCCCCACCCTGAGAGGTCCAACGCTCCGAAAAAAATTGGAGCGGGCGGTGAGTGGGCGGCCTCCTCCGGTGAGCGTTTCTTGTTTCGGCGTGTCGACATTGGGCGCGAGGGGGGGGCAGGGGAAGGGTGTCTGGCTCCGGACCTCTGCTGAGTGCGACTGTTTGCAGCAGTGCGTCCTAGAGGGGGGGACTCCACCTGCTTGCAACAGGCGCCAAACACAGTCAAGGTCTACTCCATGGCGGAGAGGCGAGGGCCCGCGCCGATCGGCAAAACAATGAAAAAGAAAATGGCCACCTGGAGGGCGAGGAATAACGGCACAATGACGAGACGACGAGAGGAGACGAGAGGTACGTCCTGGGGAACGGCCCCTACCCTGAGAGGTCCGACGCTCCGAAAAAATCGGGGCGGGCGGTTTGGGGCTGTTAGCCTCCGGGGGGCCCTCGCTGGGCTTCGGGAGCGTCAAAAAACGGCCTAGAACGAAAAACTGGCCCTGGGGAAAGTGGTCCAGACCTCGAGGACCCGCGCACCGAGAAAGTTGGAGCAGCTGGATGTTTGGGGACGCCGGATACGTCCAGAAGGACGGCCCCTAATGGAGCGCGGCGGTAGTGCCGTAGCCCTCAGACGGCGATGACGTTGTAAGGTAACGAAGTCGATCAGCGAGCGTGCATGTGGGTTCCTCCACCTCGCTTTGATGTAAAGTGGGGTCTTTTCCCAAATAGCGACGGCATCACAATCAAGAACGGCACAAGCAGAGACTCTCGGACACGCTTTACTAACAGCTCAGCCTGCTGCCGATGTGCCATCGGGCTGCCCATGACCCCACGGGTCGATTGGAGAACAGGCGGCGAGCCCCCGTGAGCAGGAGCAGGAACCTACGCACACGTGAGCCTTCGGAAGTCGGCGCGCGGACCTCCCGGATCGGCGGCGCTGGAGCCCCCGCCCCCTGGCACGCTCCGCACGCGCCCGGGGGGAGGGGGCCGTCCACCGCCGATCCGATAGTCAAACTCCGCGCGCGGGGGGACAGAAGGACACCCCAGACCGCTACCTCACGGATCTCTCCTGGGGTGCGCTCCGACCAGGACCTCGGAGCGAATCCAGCCGTGGCAGCGACGGAAGGGTCACGGTATCGGCCGTTCCTCCCCTGGGCGTGACCGTCCGAAGCCTTCTGCGCGTGCACCCGTCTCGTCTGGACCGGGACCTCGAGGCGAACCTGGCCGTGGTCACGACGGAGGCGTCGCGGCATCGCTGCCTGCTCCTCTCCTGGGCGCGGCCGCCCGAGAGTCTCTCTGCGCGCGCCCGTCTCTCGCTTCTTCCTCCATCCTCGGCGACGAGGCGCACGCCGGGGAACTCCGCGCCCAGCTCGGCGAGGCAGAGCTCCTCCACCTCGCGGTCCGCCGCCGTCTGCACGTCGGCCACGTACTTGCCCTCGGCGGGGCGGCGAGGGTCCCGCCGGCCCTCTGGGCGCAGGTGGCCGAGCGGGTCTCGTCTTCTCCCCCCGCTCCCTCCCCTGCTCGGGGAAGAGGTTTACCCCTCCCCCCAGCCCCTCTCGCCTGGGCGGAAACGACCTCAACGACCGCAAAAATTCTCCAAGACGGCTCAAGATGGCCTCCAAGACGGCCAATATGGCCCTCAAGCTCGCCCAAGATGGTCCAAGATGGCCTCCAAGTCCGCCGAAGATGTTCCAAGATGGCCTCCAAGACGGCCCAAGAGGGTCCAAGATACCTCCAAGTTCACCCAAGAAGCCTCCAAGACGGCCCAAGACGGCCCAAGAGGCCTCCAAGAAGTCCTGCAGGAGGGCCCGAAGAGGCCAAAATCATTGATTGTCCTTAGGTGTTTGAAAGATTGTGGCATTTCCCTCTTCTCGGCACTCCGACGGCCCAAGAAGGCCCAAGAGGCCGCCAAGATCGCCCCAAAATCACCCACGAGGCCTCCAAGATGGGCCCAGAGAGGCCCAAGAAGCCTCCAAGACGGCCTCAAGAGACCCCCAAGACGGCCCGGGAGGCCTTGAGACAAGATGGCCTCCGAGACGGCCCCGAGGCGCTCCAAGAGGACCCCAAGTCGGCCCAGAGAGGCCCCTCAAACGGCTTCCGACGGCGTCAGACGGGCCAGGAGCCCACCAAGATGGCCGAAGTTGGCTCGAAGCTGGCCCAAGACAAGAGGCCTCCAAGAGGGCCTCCAGGAAGGCCCGAAAAGGCCAAAAACACGGATTACCCTAAGGTTTTTGAAGGATTTCGACATTTGCTTCTTTTCGGCCTTCCGACGGCCCGAGACGGCCCAAGAGCCCCCAAAGATCGCCCAAGATCACCCAAGAGGCCTCCAATATGGGCCCAGAGAGGCCCAAGAGGCCCCCAAGACGGCCCCAAGAGACCCCCAAGACGGCCCTGGAGGCCTTGAGACACCTAAGATGGCCTCCGAGACGGCCCTGGAGCATTCCAAGAGGGCCCCAAGTCGGCCCAGAGAGGCCCCCCAAACGGCTTCCGACTGCGTCAGACGGGCCAGGAGCCCACCAAAACGGCCGAAGATGGCACTAAGATGGCCCAAGACGGCCCAAGAGGCCTCCAAGAGGGCCTCCAGGAAGGCCCGAAAACGCCAAAATACGCCGATCCAGCGTGTGAGTTTCTGAGAGCGTGGACTTGAGCTCGCTCAAGCTTCGCTCTGCAGGGAGGGGCGGGGGGTACGTTATTTCCGACGTCATGTCCGACGTTTTTCGGTACACAGGGATATGTCCGACGTCATTTCCCAAGTTTTTCGGTGGACTTGAACTCGCTCAAGCTTCGCTCTGCAGGGGGGGGAGGGGCGTACGTTATCTCCGACGTCATTTCCGACGCTTTTCGGTACACAGGGATATGTCCGACCTCATTTCCCACGTTTAAACTCCACTTCCGGAGCCCCGACCGCCCAAGACAGCCCAAGAGGAGGCCAAGAGAGGCCCCAGAGGCCCCCTAGACAATGCAAGAGGGCCCCGAATCGCCGAAACATCGCTCGAACCGCCCAAGATTCCCCGAAGACAGTTCCAGGAACCTCCAAGACTTCCCCAGGATCCCTCATGACACTTCCCAAGAATGCCCAAAGACTGGCAAATAGACCCATTCCCTTGGGAAAACGTGTATTTTCGGCGTACCATGTAACGCCCCTCACGGGGGTAGAAACCAATTGGACCAAGTGTATTTGCTGGGGCGTCACGCTGTCACCCTGCTCATCCTTTCCTCATCATGCTCGTCCTCCTCCTCATCCTTCTCCTCGTCCTCCTCCTCCTCCTTTTCCTTGTCCTCCTCCTCCTCCTCCTCCTCCTCCACGTCCTCCTCCTCCTCCGCCTCCCCCTCCCTACCTCGGGCGTGATGGACCATGGGACCTCATGGAGCCTCCTGGTAATCCCGGGGGCCTCCTGGGATAGCAACCTCTGGGGACTTCCTGCGGTCTCTTGAAACCTCCTGGGCTCCCCTAGGGTATCCTCAGCCCTCCAGGGGCGTCCGCAGCGTTCTGGAACTTTTGGGTCATTCAGGATACGCCTGGAGCGTGATGGGACCTCCTGGGGCCTTGTGGGACCTCGCGGGGCATCCTGGGACCTCCTGGAGCGTCCTGGAGCCTCCTTAGGATTCCCACGGCCTCCGGAGACGTCCTGAAGCCTCCTGGAGCTTCCTGATGCCTCCTGAAACCTCCTGGAGCCTTTTGGCGGCTCTCTAAGAAGCCACGAGCGGGGCCTCAAAATTGGCGACAGTTTCAAGGATGGGAGCCTTCCCATTGAGAAAGAGGGCGCGGTGGACGTTGAAAAATGACGACAGTTACAAACTTGAGGCCCAAAACCGTGCCAGGCGCCCCCCCCGCCATTCCCGGTCCTGCATAGTACGGTGCGATTTGCCCCCTCCCCGCTGTCCCGCCCGTCCCCGGGAGGGCTAGTTTTCTGGTTTTCGCTGGTAAGAAACACTTCCCCCCCCTCTCGGCGGTGACGGAGGGCAGGCGGCGGGGGAGAGCGGGTTGGCAGGGTGGCTGGTTGGGCACGGAGAGCAAGCGGAGGGGATCGGCTGGTTGGCGGGATGACGGGGTGGGCGTCTGGGCTGGTTGGCTGACGGGTTGGCTAGGTGGCGGGGTGGCTGGGTGGGCTGGCTGGCTGGTTGGACGGGTTGGCAGGTTGAGCTGGCTAGGGCAATTGGTTTCGATTCGTTTCTTGGGCCTTCAATGTCCAAAACGGCTCGCTCTCACCCCCCCCGGATCGGCGGCACTGGCCGGAGGCCAGCCCAATCATTGATTCCCCATGAGCTTTTAAAGGATTGTGGCATTTGCTTTTTTTCTGCCTTCCGACGGCCCGAGACGGCCCAAGTGCTTCCAAAGATCGCCCAAGAGGCCCAAGACGGCCCCAAGAGGCCCCCAAGACGGCCCAAGAGACCTCCAAGACGCCCAAGATGGCCTCCAAGACGGCCCAAGAGCCCTCCAAGACGTCCTCCAAGACGGTCGGAAAGGGTCAAAATGGCCTCCAGACGGCCAAGATGACCTTCAAGATGCCCACGTGTTCCCCGAAGGCTTTCCAAACCGATTCGGGGAACACGTGGTCCGATAGCTTGGCAGGTCTGGTCTCAACGTTCGGCCACATAGGCACATCCAACAAGGCAGGGGGCGGCGGTGATTCGACGTAGGCGTCTTCGATCCGCCGCCCCCTGTCGATTCATCGCAGGGGTGCCTGGCGTGCTAGATTATGTCGGTTTTGGTTTTGGTTCTTTTCCAGTAAAACTCCCCGTGGGGCTTCGGCCTGTCCCGCCGGGGTCCCGGGACGATCTTCCAGGAGCTCAATTCCCGGAAAATTCTCCAAGACGACTCAAGATGGCCTCCAAGATGGCCACGTTGGCCCAAGATGGCCTCCAAGATGGTCCCACATGGCCTCCAAGTCCGCCGAAGATGGTCCAAGACGGCCTCCAAGACGGCCCAAGAGAGTCCAAGGCGGCACAAGATGGCCCAAGAAGCCTCCAAGACGGCCCAAGACGGCCCAAGAGGCCTCCAAGAGGTCCTCCAGGAGGGCCCGAAGAGGCCAAAATCATTGATTGTCCTTAGGTTTTTGAAAGATTGTGGCATTTCTCCCTCTTCTCGGCACTCCGACGGCCCAAGACGGCCCAAGAGGCCCCCAAGATCGCCCCACAGCGCCCAAGAGGCCTCCAAGATGGCCTCAGGACTGCCCAAGAGGCCCCTAAGACGGCCCCAAGAAGGCACAAAGACGACCCAAGAGGCCTCCAAGACGCCCAAGATGGCCTCTAAGACGGCCCTGGAGCACCCCAAGAGGGCCCCAAGTCGGCCCAGAGAGGCCCCCCAAACAGCTTCCGACTGCGTCAGACGGGCCAGGAGCCCACCAAGATGGCCGAAGTTGGCTCGAAGCTGGCCCAAGACAGCCCCAGAGGCCTCCAAGAGAGCCTCCAGGAAGGCCCGAAAATGCCAAAAACACTAATTGTCCATAGGTTGTTGAAGGATTCCGACATTTGCTTCGTTTCGGCATTCCGACGGCCCGATACGGCAGAAGCGCCCCCAAAGATCGCCCAAAGATCGCCCAAAAGGCCTCCAAGATGGCCCCAAAACGGCCCAAGAGGCCCCCAAAACGACCCCAAGAGACCCCCAAGACGGCCCGGGAGGCCTTAAGACACCTAAGATGGCCTCCGAGACGGCCCTGGAGCATTCCAAGAGAGGCCCCCCAAGTCGGCTAAGAGAGGCCCCCCAAACGGCTTCCGACGGAGTCGGACGGGCCAGGGGCCCACCGAGACGGTCGAAGATGGCACGAAGATGGCCCACGACGGCCCAAGATGCCTCCAAGAGGGCCTCCAAGAAGGCCCGAAAACGCCCAAATCATTGATTCCCCATGAGTTTTTGAAGGATTGTGGCATTTGCTTTTTGTTCTGCCTTCCGACGGCCCGAGACGGCCCAAGTGCCCCCAAAGATCGCCCAAGAGGCCCAAGACGGCCCCAAGAGGCCCCCAAGACGGCCCAAGAGGCCTCCAAGACGCTCAAGATGGCCTCGACGGCACAAGAGCCCTCCAAGACGTTCTCCAAGAAGACCCCAAAGGGTCAAAATGGCCTCCAGGCGGCCAAGATGACCTTCAAGATGCCCATGTGTTCCCCGAAGGCTTTCCAAACCGATTCGGGGAACACATGGTCCGATAGCTTGGCAGGTCTGGTCTCAACGTTCGGCCACATAGGCGCTTCCAACAAGGCAGGGGGCGGCGGTGATTCGCCGTAGGCGTCTTCGATCCGCCGCATTCATCGCAGGGGTACCTGGCGTGCTAGACCCTTTCGGTTTTGGTTTTGGTTCTTTTTACCAGAGAATTCCCCCTGGGGCTTCGGCCCGTCCCGCCGGCCACCCGGAAAGATTGCCCGGCTTGCCCAGAGCTGGTTGCCAAGGTTTTGTCCTGCTCCAGACGGCTTCAAGACGGCCCAAGATGGCCTCGAAGA